GTAGATAATAAGAAACTTATGGACTTGGGTGCAAAGTCTAGTACTACAACTTCTAAACCCGTACACTTTGCACACTTGTATAGTAAAACTTATAAATGCTCCATTTGTGGTCGAAAAGGCCATTTAGCTAAGTTTTGCTATGATGCACAAAAACATAAGAATATTAATTCTTCTTGTGCATCTCATAAGGCTTCTTCTTCATCACATGTACACACACATGCACCCATTGTTCATCATAAGCATGCTAATGTGTATCATTGTGATTTTTGTGGTAGAGTTGGTCACTTAGCCAAGTTTTGTTTTGATTTGCGAAAAGTTTCTAAATCGCAAAATATTTCAAGTAGACCAACATTATTTCAAAATGTTTCTCATTTGCAAAATAATCTTAAAAGACCATCTTTATTTGCAAATGTTCCTCGTGCACATCCACATGGTCAACATAACCAAATGCATCCTCTTCATTGCACTTATTGCAATCGAATGGGTCATTTGCATAATTATTGCTATGACCGGACCCGTGCACTAAATGCGCCCAAATGGGTTCATAACCCTAGGGCTTTGAGCTTGAATGATAGGGGTCATGTCCCTAAATCGTTTGGTACCAAGAGTTCTTGGGTACCAAAAGAAATTTGATTTTAAACAAAGAATTTTAGTATTTTTATTTTTCTTTGTCTTGGTTTTGAAAATTATGTTTTAAGATCTTTTGGTTATGAAAACAATTTTTCTTTTATCAAATCTTTTGTTTTCATGATTATTAGTTTTGATTTTGATGAGAGATGTGTATTTATATAACCCTCCGGGTTTATTGGGTGTTTATTCCCAAATCATGTTTACCGGATGCTTAAATGATTATATGAGTTGGATGTTTTTTAAACTTAAATCTTGATTTATGATTTCATTAATTACTTTGTTTTCATTTGAAAACTTTTTGCATGATTCTCATGTTCTATCTTTTGATTTCATAAATCTATCTTTATACACTATGTTTTTAAGTTGTGTAATGAGACACTATTTTTCACTTTGATATATTTATATATGTTCTCATTTGTCTTTATGCATGTGAGTTGTGCTTAGCATATTTTCCATCTATGCTTGCTCACATATGTTTGCCATGATCTTTATTTCATATATTTTCTATATGGCATTTTGATAGGGGGAGCTATTCCCTTTTCTATGTTTGTTTTTATACTCACCTATGCTTATTGATAGGGGGAGCTTTCGTTCTCTTAATTCTTTTGTCCCCTTTTTGATGTTGTCAAAGGGGGAGAAATACTGTGAGTATATCTATTTTGTTTGCTTATATGCATGTTTATTGGAACTTGTATATTCATTTCCTTCATGCATATATTCCTTTTTGTAAATTGTTTGTCATCATCAAAAAGGGGGAGATTGTTGGCCTTCTTGTTTTGATGATGATTTACAAACAATTTACTACTAATGTTGTTTGTCTAGTGTTTGTGCATTCCTATGTTTTGTAGACAAACAACGTAGTTGGAGGATGGATGGATTGCGCCATAACGACGATATCAAATGGAGGTTGGCGGAATTGTGGAGTGAAGCATCGTACAATTCAAGTTCAAGATCCAAGTTTAGCTTCATCCGCAAGTGTACCAAGATAGAGCTTCGTTGAAGATCAAGATTGCTTGGGTAATTTAGTTTAGGTTTTATATTATGTGTGTTAGATACTCTAAGCTCAATATCATATACACACACGTATTTGGTTTCTATGTATATATATAGTTATATATATACATGCATGGTTTTGGGTTTTTATGTTTTGAACACTTTTGCAAAATAATGAGATTTCATAATTGGGAAATGCAAATTGGAAAATTCTTTTTGTAACATGTTCAAAATATCATTTGCAAACATTTCTCAAAGTTTCATCAAGTTTGGAATTGATTTGTTATGTTTAAAGGAATTTACAAATTCACGTTTTCGTTCGTGCACATGTTCGTGCATGTTTTACAAAACTGATGAGTTTTTACAAATGAGAAGTGATATTTGAAAAATTCTTTCTCTGACATGTTTATATACATGTTTAGAAACTTTCCTCCAGTTTTTACTATTTTTGGAGTTGATTTACTGTGCCTACTTGATTTTACAAAATCGTGTATCACAGCAGATTTTCAGAAACTGTATTTTTGTGTTCAAACATTTATTTCTCTCAACTGGGAAATGATTTTTCAGAAATTCTTTCTCTGACATGTTAATCTACATGTCTAGAACATTCCCACAAAATTTCATAATTTTTGGAGTTCATTTACTATTTTAAATTGATTTTACAAAATTGCTGTGCATTGCTACAGTAATCCGGTCGACCGAAATTTTGGTCGGTCGACCGAAATTTCCTCCGGTCGACCGGTACGGTCGACCGACGCTGTTTCTGCTCGATTCCCAGGTTGGGATCTTCATCGCGGTCGACCGACGATATTTTCGGTCGACCGACAAGTTGACCGTTGGCTTCCAACGGCTCTTTTCTGAGCTGATTCACTGGGGCTGTTTTTGTCTTTTGACTTGGGTTTTTGCTGAGATTTCTAGTGGGTATAAATACCCCATTGCTGATGTCTTTTCAAGTTAATCAAGTGAGTTTTAAAAACAAGTTTAAGGGTGTTTTGTGTTTGTTTAAAAGAGTGTTTAAGAGTTTGGTTTGTGAAGATAATTTCACAAGGGCTTGAGGAGATAATCTTTGGTGTTTGGGCTTCAAATCATCTCTCTCACTCTTTTCATTTATTGGAGAAGTTTTCTAAACTCAATCTAGCTTTACAATTTATTATTTTGATTATAATTTCATAAGCTAGATTTCATATTGAGTTTAGTTTAATTGTTTTATTGATACTCTTTGTTCACACACAACCTATTGAGCTTATTGTATTTGCATACATTATATAATTGGGTTGTGGGATAGTGTGACATTGAGTTGAGCCTAATTGAGTTCTCACCTTGTTAGAGAGAACAATCATTTGCTATATTGTGCTTAATTGTTAAATCACTTTGTAATACTCTTGTACACCGAGTGAGGAGTGTGTGGTGAGAGTCGGGGATCGTCCCAAGAGGAGTGGCGTCGGTTGACGTGCCTAGGGAGAGGTTGTAACCGAGCACTTGAGGGAGACACGGCTAGGTCCAACACTTAGTGGGTGTAGAGTGTGATTGCAAGAGTGTGAGTTGTAGAGTTTTCGGTTAGCTAGAAAACCGAGTGTGTAGAAGAAGTTCCGGCTTCCAAACCGGATTGTGTTAGTGGATTTCTCCCCGGGAGTGGGGAGCGGAGACGTAGGACGGAAGGTCCGAACTCCGTGATCATATTGCTTGTTTGAGTGTGCTTTGGCGTTCATTCATATTTATGTTCATATCTTATATCGCCATTGTCATTAGCTCATTATCTATATCATCCACTATCTTGTTTAGATTGTTTACCCCTTGTGTTAGTTTACATATCCTATACATATATCATATTGTATATCTCTTTGATAGGATATATCATCTTGTGTTAGCTCATATATCCTTGCATATATCTCATAGTATATCTCATTGCTAGGATATTTACCTTTGTTCATTTTGCTTATTCTTGCACATAACTCTTGTATATCTATCTTGCAAGAATATACTTGTTAATTAATTTTAATTGGCATTTAATCGGTTTAGATTAGCATAAGACCCTAATCACCCCCCCTCTAGGGTCTAACAAATATATCTATTGTTTCATATTTATACGGTTAAACTTAAAAATGATAAATTGAAAACGTGTATGTGTGTAATATTTGAGCTCTAAGTATAACACATAAAGTATACAACCTAGATTACAAAACTATACCCAAGCTAATGATCTCTTCGTGACGCTCGATCTTGGTAAAATGGACGAAGTGCAATAGTGTTTTTGACTTGAAATGCAAATGCCTTCATTCCGGTTTCCTCCAACCTCCAAAAGATGTCGTCGTTAAGCTTAATTCTAACCAACCGCCAACCGAGAATTTTTGTGTAGAATACCTAACAAGTAAATAAACACTCGACAAATATTGTTAGGAATTATTTGTTAATCATCAAAACTAGATTAGACAGTAGGCTCATAAATATGAGACCTAACATAAACTTCACAACCAACTCATAACTTTTAAAACCAACACATAACCTTCCTTCACAACCAACTCATAACCTTAACAACAAACTCATTACAGTGAAATAGCAACAATATTTAAATTTACAGTCTCTACTTTAATCTTAAGTCATCGATTTCAAAAAAAATTCAACAATATATAAAATAATAAAAAATATAGCACTCAGATTCAACTACAAGTTAAAAAAGGAAAAAAGTACACCGGGAGTCGCGAAGTTCCAGCCTTTTTCTTTGTAACGGCGACATTTCAAATCATCACAGTGACATCATGAAAAAAAAAGAGAAAGATAGAGTATTATAGTATTCACATGTTTTAAACTCTTGGATTTTGTGTTTTGGGGCTCAGAGAATTGAGGCTTTGCTTTTGAGGGTTTTGAAAGTGTTGAAAAAGTCTTGGGGGCGGACAGAATAATTGTAAAGAAATTGGGGGCTACAAGCAATTTCCCCAAAAAGAAAATAAAAGAACTACTGTGCTGCGGGTAGTGGTTATAAGGTACCGATAGAGCTCACCAGGAGGACCCTCATCGCCACAAATGTCAAGGAACTCATGTGGTTGGTAACTAACACCACAACGTTTGACTGATGAAAGAGCGAGAAACGGATAATTTTTTATTCACTAGAGCCCTTATTTGATAATATTATAGGATGTTGCCCTGCCATTTAGGTCCCCAAAACTGTTAACCATTTCTTTAAGGATTGAATCTGTCAGCACTCAGAGAAACATTTTAAAAATACTTTCGTAGTTCAAGCACCATCAAGTTCACTATATAGCCTATGTAATCGTGAATCAAAATTGAAGCTCGGCCAATCAAAAATCGTCAAAAATATTCAATCAACATAAAAGCGTACACGCAAGCTTAAAAAAACCAGTCAAATGACCAACCACGCCTAACTTCTCTCCCCGGTGCAAATAAAGTCAACAAATCACACCTTTTAACCTTCAATCACGAAGCAATACATCAACAAACATCTTACAATACCAAATCCAACAAATTATAGCAAACCACTGGATCACGCCACCACCATGTCCAGCTTAGAAGAAGATCAGCCCGCAAGCTACAGCCTCAGCACCCGCATCCTGACCACAGCAATCCTGACCGTGGCATTCGTCGTCGTCCTCCTCGTCCTCCTCCACCTCTACGTCCGCTGCATCCTCCGTCGCAGCAGCGTCACGTTCCGTCGGGGCAACATCACTCTCTTTCGCGTCGCAAGCGAGGCCAATCACGTCGAACCCCAGCCCATCGGGCTCGATCAGTCTGTAATTTCCTCACTGCCGATGTTGGCGTATCATAGGAACGGCAAGGATGAGTGCCCGATATGTCTGAGTGCAGTGGAAGAAGAGGAGATGGTCAGAGTGTTGCCTAATTGCAAGCACTTGTTCCATGTCGAGTGCGTCGATATGTGGTTGCATTCGCATACTACGTGCCCGGTGTGTCGGTCTACGGTTGGGATGGGGGATTCGGGGTTGGTGTCGAGGTTGGGGTCGTCGCTGCGGAGGATGATGAGCAGGGAGAGGTCAGGGAGAAGAGTGCAAGCGGATGGATTGGATATTGAGTTGCGGAGACAGAGTAGCGTATCGTAAGGGGCTAATTCAAATTTTGTGGCATTCATGAGGGGCTCAACGTAATTTTCCCATTTCATTATTAGGTGCCAAGACTTTGGACTTTGGAGGGTTTGGTTAGTGAATGGTACATGTGAGGGAGCCTCAGGAGTCCTAAACTTGTTTAGGAGTGGAAAAATGTCATGCAGGTTTTGACTTTCTGTGATTAATTAATTGCGTTCACTTGGATTCATTTGTAGTCTATAAGTCGTGGTTACATTGTGGATGTATGTCACTAGTGTTAATTACGGTTTTAACCGCAGGAGTGAATCACTGACTGTAAAATTCACAAAGTTCCCTTTTATTTCTTTGAAAAGAATTGCCCATCATAGTCCCATAAAGCCCGTTAAAAACTTTTGTCGGATGAAGAATAAAGAGGAAAACCGACCACACAGTGGAGTAGACATAATGGTAGGCGTTGCAAGAGGAAGAGTAACTGGAATATTAAACCTCCAGAATAAATGGAGAATTTTGGATCCTCGGATTCCATAATCCATCCTCATAGAAATGCATTCACTAACATTGATACAAGATCAAGCATAGACTAGTTAACCACAGCAATTAACATTGAAAGAGGAACATAAACTTTTTATAGATACAAAATCCCGGTTACTATGCAGAGCATCCAACTGCTCATCCATGAGGAAAAGCAGATATATGTCTACGTTATGATTTTAATTTAATCATATGAGATAAGTGAGGATATAAGTAAGAAACCGCCGAGCTAGACCTCGCATAGCACGCACGCTCAGGCTCATTCCAATCCTTTCCAAAGAAGTCTAAGGGCTTGTTTGGCACCTCCACAAAATAGGGCTAGGTTTGGTCCTAGTCCAATAATTTTGGGTGTTCGATTAAAACTGGGCTAAGATTGACCCACTTTTTCTTAGGCCAAAAATATGCCTTAAAACAGGTTGTTTTTAACTAGCTTAGTTTTATGAAGATTGTCAAACACATCCTTAAACTAATCTAACTAACACATTTTCTCTTATAGCTAGAGAAAACCTGAGACATGCATTTCCAGAGCAAAATGCAACCTTCAACAAATTTAAAGCCTACAGACAAGAGAGCAATATCATTTACCCTCAGACACTTCATCGGATAAAGAAAACATATTGCCTAAGTCTCTCCGATGCGAACCTCCTTTTCTGTTAGAATATCGACAGGAAAATACACATTGAGATCTTTCATTAATTATATGAACTGCAGCAAGCGGAGAAATAGAGCTACATTCAAGTCATTTGTCACAATGAACTTACATGGTCCCTTTGCATATCCTCCCCATGATTCAGTCACATTGTCTGGGGACTAATAAAAGCGAACAATGATAATAAATCATAAATAACAACCAAGCAAGGACACACAAAATTTTATAGTGGTCCGGGTAACAATCATATGTCACTCCTTCCTTGTCCCAAAGGGGCTTCCCACTATGCAAGAGTTCTCGTGAATCACAACCCGATTCAGTAGACTTACAAAGATCGCATCCTAATATATATCCGAAACCAGTTATCTAACTAACTCTCCACAATGAGTAAACACCTAGTCCTAATTATTCCCAGCCCTCAATTAATATCAACTTGAGTTTATGCCGTAAAAAAAAGTTTGAAATACAAATAATCAAACAAAATTAAGCACAAAAAATGTGAAAGATCTCACAGCCCTTTTGATAAACAAACCGTCCTTTGATGAATCCAAATGTAGCACGATGAAGAACGATGTAGATGATGAATCCAATGACAACTCTCCTCGCTGAAATGATCCACAGATATTGTGAGCGACGAGAAAGAGTTTTTCGAGACTCTAGTGGTCAAAAACATCAATATAACTTTTCTTCAATCAAAACCCTGGAACTCTCTCTTCTCTATCTCCTTTAATGATATATAGCATTCAATGTATTAGGAAACAAATATTCTGAATATAGTAGAGTTTGAAGATCAAAAGGAATGATAAACAGCTATGATTAAAACTTAAAATTTGCCATCAGTAAACTTTACTATTGATGGTTACTCATGATCATTGATGGGTTCTTGAGCACCAACGATGGGCTCTTGCATGCCATCGATGGTTTGAAAATTTATCTTTGAAATTTCATCAACCGCTTTGTGTAGCCATCGATGAGGTCATAACCATCGATGGGTCCTTGTTGACCATTGTTGGTTAGATGGCTGAAATCAGCATTTGAGCTGATTTTCACTTCGTTTCGCCTCATTCCTGTCTCATACTTGTATTCATATGTATTATATCATCTGAAATAATTATTAATACTAAATGAGAGTTTGTTATTACTTAAGTAAGTGATGTTGCATAGACTACATCCTAACATTTAACACCTTAAATACAATGATACCCACCCTATGCGAGTAGATGTTACCTAAGCAATTAGTATTAGTTTTTTTAAAGCATGTGTAGAATCCTAATTTTAGTGTGGTATGGATTCCTCAATCTTTAGCAACTGCATTTTGGCAGTGAAGATTGGAGATAGCTAAGGAGTAAATAGCATGGTCTTGCATCACTCAAACTTGATCCAAAAATTTTCTTGTGAGCTCAAAGTCTAAGTGCATCGCAATGTGATAAGAGCCCAAACTTGACTTTATCCAAAAATTTTCTTGTGAGCTCAAAGTCTAAGTGCATCGCAATGTGATAAGAGCCCAAACTTGACTTTTTTGAGCTGAAAGTCTAAGTGCATCGCAATGTGATAAGAGCCCAAACTTGACTTTGCACCACTGACAAATCAAGCAGTATAAAATCTCTACGCAATTACCTAATCAAGCAAATATGTAACCCAAGAATACTAAGAACAAATCTGGAGTTCCAAAAATAAGAAATCGTAATTTTGTTAATAAATTCTCCCAATTTTTCTATCACCAAAAATATAATAAAACTTTTTTACCTAGTCGGCCTTAAATATCCTATGTTTTGGCTTCCTAAACAAATTCTATTTTTAAATAAATTTTTATTCATAAATAATTTCCTGCTTCTTAAAAACCCTATTTATCTAAACAATTCCTTACTACCTAAAAAATTTCCTACTTCCTAAAATGAATCATATTTGTAATCAAATGAAATCCTACGACTTAGATACCTTCATTATGTATCTTTTTGTAATTATGCACCACGCAAGCATGATCACTCTTACTCATAGATAGCTCCGAACTCATATCATTCTCTCCTCCTTTGATAATACAATTGTCCTCAAGCGTAAGATCAGGAAATCTCTCCTTGAGCTCATCATATTTCTCCCATGTGGCATCATCCTTCATCAAGTCCTCCCAAATCCTCTCTGAAATTGACAAAGGTTGCATTAACACCATTGCAGCCCTCTGATCATATTTTACCTTCTAGCACATATCACACTCCACATACTCCAAATTATACTGCATCGTTTAGGATTCCAGCTGAGGTGACACAGATTGAGAATCATTTGGATTTGGATGCAGATGATGAGTTGGTTTTGGATTCGATTACAGCTGATGGACTTGATTTAGATACGGCCATTGGTTCACCCCAGATGGAGGTGTTTGATTTGTCTCAGTTTGGGGCCATTGGGAGCGCTATCAGTTGTAGATCGTTTGGTGATATTGGGAAAGAATTGCAAACTTTTCTATTTGTTTGAGGGTATTTGGAGGCCATTTGGGTAAACTACGTGAATGCTTGATTCCTTAGGCAAGAGGATACGTAGACAGTCAGTTTTGATGCAGCCGATTTGGTGAGTAGACGTCGATGTTTGGGAGAGTGTTCGCACTCCCGTTTGGGTCTCGACTTGTTGTGGATTGAGTCCGTTGTCGTGAATCGTTTCACTTCGTACTGGACGCAACAAGTAGGACATTTAATTTGGTTGGTGTCGGCTCAGTTTTGGGAAAACTTCACCGAGGTAGAGAATTGAAGAAACCGCGAAGAAATTTGGTGAAGAACAAGTTTTGAGATGCTGGATTCAGTTTGGGAGCTACGCAGTCGACCGCGGTGCAAGGCCGGTTGACCGCGAACGTGCACAGGCTCATGGATTGTGTCTGGATTTGGCGCGGGTGACCACAAGACCCTGTAGTCGGTTTTTGGGCTCTGTCGTTTGTCGCGGTCGACCGCTAGACGCTGTAAGCATTTTCCAGGTTCTGTCGTTTGGCGCGGTCGACCGTGGGGGTCGACCGTGTAACGAGTCGGGCCCAGTTTGATTTTCCTATTCTTATTGGGTTTTGGTGTTTGGTATAATACCAATACACGTTCTAGGGTTTCTTTAGGCTTGAGTTTGGGATATTTGAAGCACAAAAAAGAGGTATTTTCTGAGCTATTTGATTAGGGTTTATTTGGAGAGATTAAGAGCTTTGTGGTGAGATTAGTTTGTTCCTTCGAGTGATTTGTAATATCAGTTTGTACTCTTCTTCTCTATTAGTAAAAACCACATCTCCTTCTTGCCCCGTGGACGTATGCAACTTGCCGAACCACTAAAATCGTTTGTTTGTGTTTGTGACATTGATTTGGTGACTTGGCATTTATCTCGGCATTTGGTATTTGGTTTCTCGCAGCACGTTTGGTTGTTTGGCTTCCACACAGCACAACACGTATAACATTTCATCCCTTTCCGTCTTTTTTTTTTTTGTGGAAAACAGATCTGCTCCCTGTGCTCCTATGAAACTTCTTTAAAACCTTTTGTCAGAAAAAATAAAGTGGAAAAATAACCTTATGAAAGCAATAATATTGTAATAAACATGATAGTAAGCGTTGGTAGAGGATCACCAAAAATTTCAATATAGTATCATTACCTAGTATCATCACTATATTGAACTAGAGAGCTAAACTAGTTGAACTACTTATCAGATTGGAAAATTAAACCTCCGGATTCCATAATCTAATCAAAGAGACACTTTTGGTTATAATGAGAAACATTCTGCGAGAAAATGCATTCACTAGAACACAGCAATTAGCATTGCAAGAGGAACATAGATTTTTTAAATACAAAATCGCAGCTACAATAATGTAAAACATCCAGCTGCTTACCACCAGTGTTATGAATTAACTTCATCATATTAGACACGCAAGGATAAGTAGCAAACTTTCGCGCTAGACATCACATTACGCAAGAGCACTCAGGCTCATTCCTGTCTGTTCTAAACAAGTATTAAGACTAATCTAACTAGCACGCCTTCGCTTATTGCTGGAGAAAACCTTAGTCAGTGCAGTTTCAGAGCACAACGCAGCTTTCAACAGATTTAAAGCCTACAACCAGAAGAACAACATCATTTACCCTCAAGTCGTCTTGAAGACAAGTCATCAGATGAAGAAAATATATTACCTGCGTCTCTCCGATGCCGACCTCCTCCTCTTTGAGATTACCGATAGAAACACCGAGATCTTTCATCATGTGAACTGCGGCAAGCGGAGAAAATAGAGATACATCCAAGTCATCAGTAACCATGAACTTACACTGTCCCTTTGCATATCCTCCCCCTGATTCACTCATTTTGTTTGGGAATTTCGGGTTCAATTCCTTACATGTAGCGATATTCACCTTGTGTGGACAATTAGTGTTTTTTCTAAAGCATGAGTAGCATCCTGCTTTTGTTGCACGGGCACGTGACACCGTTTCCTCAATCTTTAGGATCTGCATTTTGGCAGCGAAAAATGGAGCCAGCTTAGGAGATAATAGCATGGCCTTGTGCTCATCGGACTTGATGCAAACATTTTCTCGTGAGCACAAAGTCTCGATGCTTTCATACAAGTTATCAAAACACCCCATTGATGAATTCTCGCCTAGAAATTTAATTACGGCCCCAACGGGTAAGATGAGGAAACTGAACAGGAGTTCTACTACCTTTTCATCACACTCCATGTAAACAAACCTACCTGTATATTTTGTCCGTAGCAGTTTTACCTTCATTTCTTCACAGTCCGAATTTTCATGGCCTTCACATTTAGGGACCAGTAGAAACTTTGGCACGTCTCCCTCCTTCATGGAAGATATTTTAAAGAACAAGTCAGTCAGGGGTGTATTGGAAATCAACGTTCTTCGCAGCAAATTTAAGACCTGTAAACAAATGAAGCGAGAGGGAATGATTGCTTGTTAAAGGTAAAACGCCATCTAACTAATCAGACATATAGTAGTCCGACTAGTATACTTTGTAATCAATAATAATCAAGTAATTGTAGGACTTTATACCTTTGTTAATATAATCATAACTCCTCTATAATTAATTAGAAGACATGGATCATAGAACTTCATGATAATCACAAATATAAGATGTTTGAGATCATACCTTGAGCCATGCTATGAACCCTTAGAGAATTGAGACCTTAATCACAAATATAAGATGTTTGAGATCATACCTTGAGCCATGCTATGAACCCTTAGAGAATTGAGACCTTGGAGAAGATTGCTTTCTCTCTCGGATCATACCTTGAGCCATGCTATGAACCCTTAGAGAATTGAGACCTTGGAGAAGATTGCTTTCTCTCTCTAATCCTTCTTTAAAACCAAGCCCTTTTTTTTTAATTTCAAAGTTAACTGATGGATTTAGAAATTATGTGCTTAGATTTCTTTATAGGAAGAGAGAGGAGCAACTATCCGGTAGTTAATAAAACTACCCACCCACACATGTTCCATCAACATGATTAAAAACATGGGTGTTAGTTAATTAACTACATGGTCATTAATATATACTAATATATTAAGTACTTTTCCATAACCAATAATCCTCATAATAGTATTAATATTATTTAAACCTTATACTAAATTTAATATATGACACATAGGCCATATATTTCTTACATTCTCTCACTTGGCCATGTGGCAGAATTATTCATAACGGTTTAAATAAATTCATAATACATATATACTATAAGAATAAAATTTTTCATACATTGGTAATATCATCATATCATTATTAAGTATAGATTAATACGAGTCATGGCGGTTTCATATCATTCAATAACATGATTCCTTCCAAGTACCACAATATTAATTGTCTACTTAAAATAATCTATAAATGAAAAGTCATTAGAGCTTAAATCCTGAAAACATTCATGTATACACAATCAATAAGAAAACAGGATATCGATAAATGTCAGAAATAATACATACATAAGGTGTCATACATCAAATTCATAAACTAAACATTAAGACCTTTAGTAATGCCCATCCTTTCGACATGCTCAATAAATGTCTTAGGAGGCAATCCCTTAGTCAATGGATCCGCAACCATGAGTTCCGTACTGTAGGCTGTCTAAAAATCATAATAAATAGCTAATCCCTATCAAGCCCTGACAATGGAAGTTACAATCAGACGACTTTCTAATCACTGCATCCGCAACTCCACAATCGCTACAAACACGACCTCATTTCTAAGATGATTGATCTTGATGGCTGCGACAACAACATGACTAATATTATATTAGCAATTATTAGAGATGCTGATGAGTAGTGTAATGATTTCAGAAATAAAAGGTTGGACTTAGTTGGTGAGTTGCTTGGTAGAGAGCTGTGGACAAATATCCATCTAAAAATCACAATGGATGATTAATCCCCATCAAGTTCCAACAATGAAAGCTACAGTCAAATAGCTTTCGTGCCGACAAACGAAGGTTGCAAATAGAGGACTTTTCACGCAGATCGAGAAAAGTTACAATTCAACGACGCTTCCGACAGCTGATGAAAACTCTATTCAGTGACCTTCACAATCAACAGTGAGAGTTACAATCTGACGACTCTCATATCCTATAACAGACAAAGATCAATAAGTAGTAGCCTTTGCAGTGTTATAATGGACGATGTTACAAGTCAACAACCTCTCTCAAACGCAGAACTCACTTTTGCGTTTCTCAAATTCAAAAACGCAAGGTCCACATCTGCGTTTCCCAAATTCAAAACGCAGACGAACTGTGCGTTCTCCAACAGACGTCCAACTTTGCAACGCAGAGTTAAAACACAAAACGCACGAACTGTGCGTTCTTCGGCAAACACTCAACACTGCGTCCCAAATCCAGGATGCAGAATTGAGAACTCGACACACGAGCGGCCTGTGCGTCTTAAATCTCTAACAGAGATTTAACTCTGCGTCTCAAGCCTTAGACGCAGAGTTAAGGTCCAAACGCCAACTGGGGCGTTTTGACTTGTTCAAACACAAGCCGAACGGCCTCAAAACCGTTATCCCACGTTCTGAGGGATTTTCGCCCACTTAGGAGCGGATTTAGGGGTTGGTTGCACCCCTAATCCCCCTATAAATAACCAACTTACTCAACTAAGTAGAGGGTTGACGTGTGCTGGCATCAAAACCGTATAAGGTGAACAAATCTCGGCAGCTTAACCGCACGGAGGAGATCTCTCTGAAGATCAACAGACTACTTAGTAGTTAGTCCATCAAATCAAAGGGGATCCCTTCATCAGCGGCAAATCAACTTGGCTACTAATCGAATCTTCGGTTCTAACAACTCTGTTACAGAGTTTCAACTCGCTCTGAGTTCTGAAACTCATTTAAGAGTTCGTAGTTAAGCTTGCAACGCAAGTTAATTACATCAGACCAGTTATTCGGTTCTCAACAACTCTCTTCAGAGTTTTCAACTCGTTCTGAGTTCATTAAACTTGTTAAGAGTTCTAAACCGAATTCATCACACAAGTCAATTATTCCCATGAGATAGGACGGTCGGATCGTCAACGGAGAGCAAGTTCGACACAAGCAATTGAAGGAGTCACTCCATCGCTACCAATAAGAACTCAGTTTTAAACAAAGGGGAGAATCAAATTCATTCTCCTCTCTTTTGTAATCGGAATCCAAATTGTAATTGATTTTGAGAGAATACAAGTCAATTTTTCTTTCATTGTCTTTTTACTGCAATTTTCCACAAACAAAAGATGTAGTTAATTTTTCTTTCATTGTCTTTTTACTGCAATTTTTCACAAATAAAAGATGGCGACTCCGCTGGGGACTAGCTTCTCTGACGAGGAAGTGGTGGCGTAATCTGACGTTCACCTCACTGGGACCACCGTCGAAACTCTCGTCGTAGAGTTCGACCAAGCTAAGTACGAGGAGACTCTCTCCTCTGGATCGCTTAGCCCTAAAGCTAGGCGTGATAATTGCAAGATCTCTAAGGAGGTCGTAACTACTGCTGAGATGCCAAAGAAAGCCCTCTCCTTTGGCCAAGACCTTAAATTCGCTCTGCGAGTTGAAGACTCCTCACCCGTATCACTATGGCGCATAATAGGTCAAAAGAGACCTATGTCGGAGGAAAACTCAACCAACGCCGATGATGCTGCAGCCAAGGCGTTGAAACAAGCTAAGAAAAACGCCGCTCGACGAAGGAGAAGATCCATACGGCGAGCATACTTGCGGAATAGCCGAGCTATAAGCCCAACGCAAAGACTGTGTTTCTGAAAATCTGCCCGAACTCTGCGTTTCTGCTCCAGAACGCACACTTCGTGGTAATGAACCCGACTATGAGCCTCGGGTTATCCAACTCAAACGCGACCCTCAGTGGCGCGTTGTTCAATCTAGACGCACACCTCAAGAGTGCGTCCCAAAACGTGATCTCAAAAGGCACATTCAATCATCCGAACGCACGCCACAACTGTGCGTTCAATCAAAACACGACCCTCAAGGGTCTGTTCAAACGACCAAACGTACACCACAAGGGTGCGTTCATCTAAAACACGACTCCCAGGGGTCCATTCAATCATCCAAACGCACACCACAGGTGTGCGTTCAATCAAAACCCGATCTTCAGAGGTCTGGTTCATCAACCAAACGCACATCACAAAAGTGCGTTCAAACAAAGAACAACCCTCAGGGGTTTGTTTCATCATCAAAACGCACACATCAAGTGTGCGTTCAATCAAAACAAGACCCGCAGGGGTCTGTTTCATCATCAAAACGCACACCACAAGTGTGCGTTCAATCAGGACACAAAACAAGACCCGCAGGGGTCTGTTTCATCATCAAAACGCACACCACAAGTGTGCGTTCAATCAGGACAAGATCCACAAGGATCTGTTCCATCAGTCAAACACAGGCCTCGACCTCGTGTTTATAAACCTAAACGCGACCCTTGTGTTTCGTCTCAAGAACACGACATGATCCATAAGGTTCAAGAGGGACAGCATGGATTTAAGGTCCATGTCCGACCCATCCAAGGTTCCATCTCCACCTTCATGAGATCTTTCCCAGGTCTCCGACTTGCGTGAGCTACTGTTGTTTGCGTCGAAAGTTGATGTATTCATTACGGTATTCATTACAACTTCAATCGTTACAATGAAAACAAAAAAGATTATCTTTTTATAAGACTTTTACACAAGGAAAACAAAAAGTTACAACTCTCGTCAAAACAAACGCAGAGATCATTTATCGGTCTTCTGCTTGCGTGGGACCTTTGCCTGTGCCGGGGTTTATCCGTGGACCGCCTTAGATCTGGATCCGGTTGATGAAAAATTCGGCAGAGCTTCGCCTTCGCCGAGGAAGTATTTGATTTGAAGCGCTGAAATCGACCAAGCGAAATCAGGGCTCTTCTCGAGATTAAGACCAAGCCTAATCTCAAGGGACAGACGGGAACGAGAGTCGGATCTCTCGAACTCTCCTTCTTTATGCCGAAGAACTCGCCAAAATCTGTCAACCCTCGCTGAAATTCGTGCTCCTTTGACTCCACAATCCGGCAGCACCTCCTCGTCTTGATAATCAATCGCCCCGCTGAAAGGAGGCCCTAGGCTTGTATTTATAGGGCTTCGGAAGCGGTTATTTGGATGAGAACAAGTGATTGCGGGTCGGATGGAACCGACCCGCGCCGGCACGGGTCGGTTGTGTCCGACCCGCGCCGGCGCGGGTCGGTTGATTCCGACCCGCGCAAGCGCGGGTCGGATCATTCCGACCCGCGCCGGCGCGGGTCGGATCATTCCGACCCGCACGAGCGCGGGTCGGTTTGGTCCGTCCCGCGCGGTGCGCTGAGATTTTTTGTTTCGCTGATTTCTTGTGTTTTATGACTTTTCCGATCTTCCAGGACTTGTAGTTTCTCCCGTTTTGTTTACTCATTCGTCGTGTCGACTTG